TTTTTTTTTTTTTTTTTAAATATTTTCTATGCCAAAGACCGAAGAGTCGATTTGAATTTCAAGTTTTTCATTTTATTTGTTTTGTTTTCGTGGTTTTTTTTTTCCTTTTTTTTTTTTTTTTGTAAATATTTTCGAAGAAGCAAAAGTATTAAAAAAAAAAAGGAATATTGTGTAGTGGTAGGAGCGTGTGTGAAACAAAATAGTTTATGATTATTTTTTCTGGTTAAAATGCCATGTTTTTCATATGATGTTTGCTATTAATTGATACCTCGTTAATCATGCACGAGTTACTTTATGAAAAAAAAAAAAACAAAAAGAAAAAGTGCGAATATTTGATGAACTCTTCTTAACATTTAAGTGAAATGAATTAAATGTTTTCATATATCCGTACTGAGTATTTAATGGCTCCTATCACAAAATATATATATGTGCGGTTTATGTTACATCTCTTGGAACTTAGTTCAATTATAGTGACCAAGGCCGTTCATAATACACCAGATCCAGCTGACTGACAGAAATTTCCCAGTATTAATATTTGATTGGGCTCTTTTTGTATCAAGGTTATTTGGACTTTGGATATCCCAAAGTAGCAGCGCTATCTTTCGAGTTAAGCAGAAAAACTCATGCTGCCTTTTATTTGGCGCCGAACTGCATCCATTCAAAGCATCAAAAACGAGGCAAAGTTTTATAAGCTTTGATGTGACAATTTGTACAATAGGTTGCAGCTTTCTTGTAGCTTTTCGAATAAGAACAGCTACAGCACTACTCTAACAGTCCCTCTGTTAGGTAACGGCCCGAGTTGATTTCTTTTCCCAATACAAGGCATTCTTCCTTTTGCAACATAACGCTTGCTCGAGATAGTGGTGGATGCTTGCTTTATAATGTTCAGCCTGCATCTATGAAATGCATTATTCATTAAAGATAGAAGAATACTTACTTATCGATCGATCTATTTATGCCTTTGAAAAACATTGTGCATTAAAAATAAAGGCAATACAAGTTAAATTCGTATATAATTGTTGTTCATTTTAATTTCTTTCAAGTTTATTTAATGGCATTATTCCAACAAATTTTTCCAATTCATTTGCTTCGCATGTGAAGTGATTTCCCTTAAGACCTATAAAAAATTTATCTGCTAATACTATAACTCTTTCGTTAGATGAAAAACGCTTGAAACGTAAACACGTTACGGCTTTTGCGGGCAGAGAAACATTAAAGCCGGTCACTATCAACTCCTTGTGAAGCTAAGCATGGATGAATAGTTTAGCAAAAACGGTTTTTCCCTACATCAAGGAAACAATTGTTCATAAGGGATCAAGCAAAAATGGTTAATTCTCAGGTGAAAGAATTTGAGCAGACATAAGAAAAATTGTGCAAAAAGAATATGCGAGGGATGATATCTGGTTTACATGAAAGATGCGGAAAATTCAAAAGACTTTTTTTTTTGGCATTTTTTCCTCTGTAATTTGTTTCGAAAGCTTAATATGTCTTTCTTACATACATATGCGTAGCATGCCTAGAACATTTACGACTTGGTTATTTTTCAAAGGTCTATACGAAGCTAGGAAAGTGTAAATAGAAACTCCTTAAGGTGATGCTTTCTGAATTATCACCTAAATGTAAGCGAAACGAAAGCAAATATTAATTTTTATATTTAATCTGTAGATTTAGTTGATAATATACTTTTCAAGGTTCAGCATATTAAGCGTCAGTCGGACGGCTACTTATGAATTCAATATGCTCGATATATAAATATTTAGGACGCTGCCTGACTGCTGCATGATTGTGGTCAAAGAGATCATTTCATGTCAATGCCGTCTCATAGTTTGCGCATATACTTATTCTTATCTAAAAAATTAATTTTTTCCGGTCGAGCGGCTGAGAGGATTTTTCCACAGCCACAGGTCAGAAGGAAGCAAATCGGGTCGATATCGCGAGAACGGAGAAAACGCGGTAACACTCTTTCAGTGCCAGAATATGCTTCAGAGTGATGCAAAAATCGCAATTTCTTTGTCCATCATTCTGGGGAAATACCTCACGCTAAAGCTTAAATAATATATTTGCTTAATAATACTTTGGCTCAGCGGCGCAATACAAGCTTAGGGCCATCCTCCGACGGCTGTCACCGGTCATTAGTCGTAAGAACTTGTGGCTGTTTTTTCTTTGCTTAGCTTTTTTTTTTTTGGTGACATTCGGTTGTATTCTCTTTGCTTGTTTTTATTGTGAGTTAACTTGTGTATCATCCAATGATATGATGGCTATAAATCTATTATCAGTTGGCTGTGGCCGGGACCATTTTCTTGAGATCAATATCTATCACAGACTATATATGAGAGTGCTTCAACTGTACGACCGTATTAGAGCAAACGCTTAGTCCAAATATTTCTATAAAGAAAATATAGGCGTAAGTTTCAGATTTCTATCTCAAGTTTTCAAGAACTAATACTGACGCCGAACAAGCAGACAATTGGAGGAAGGGACGGATTCAACCCGCACATACGCAAGGTTAAATGATTAATTACGCAATTCTCGGTCTTGATCATCGGTCAACAATATAGAAAAGTTCAATAGTTAAACAATTTCTTTAGAATATTTTTAGGCTTAAAGTACTAATGAGTGACCTCATGTCTAAGGCTTAAACTGTGACATTGCAATATTTTAAGCTTAAAGTATTAAAAGCGAAGATAAGTAACTATTATGTAAATATTTACTCATAAAGTATGGTGTGTCGCAATGAGACTCGAAACCGCGATCCTTGATCTTCCGGGAGCCCATAGATGAGATTAAGAAATTTAGCATTGATTCGGAATGTATTTAGCCAAACTGCGGCCACCACCACCGTACTATAAGGAGCTCTGAAATCCCCTGAGTGATTTGTTATGCTTACATTCATGCATGCAAGTATTGCTGCAGCGATGCGAAAACTACTCGAACGGAAGATGGACCTGCATCCCCATCTCGCACGTAGAGCAAAAATTGGGGAGGAGACAGGGAGAAGTTTCGATGATCGTGTAAATTTTTCCAATTATTTGTGCCGCTTCAACTTACGAGCAAATGACGCATGCGATCTCTGCCAAGGCATAAACGACTATGCGCAGCACACTGTTTTTCGTCTCCCCAGAGAAACAGGTTCTCTCTGAAATCAGAAAGTACGTCAGGTTACCTGCTAGCGTTCATGCTCATGGACACCGAAAAATGACAGGAATGTGATGTTGTTTTGCAAGGTATGCTTCGATATCCGACCGCCTAATCTCAGGCCAGGTGGAATGGTATAGTGAGAATCAAGGGTCCGTCTTGCGATAACGCGAAAGCGCTCCCAGGATGCCTTTGGCTACAAAAAAAAAAAACAATCGTACATTGCGTACATGCATACAAGGAAAACGTCCAGGCTTTATATATATTCCCGCCTACATTTTGCGGTTAAGTATGCTTACGGTGGACGATGCAACAAGATACAGATCGAGCTTATATCTAATTCGTTGACACCATTCTATTATATTGCATTACATTTTAGAGACATTACATTTCCATTAAGATGTGAGCGTAAAGCGTTTCTTTGCTCGATCGCTTAATGCAATAAGCGAACCCTCATATTCGTTAATAATATAATAATAATAAATATTAAAAAAAAAAAAAAATTTATATGCACTTGGAATAATGAAAATGTTAACAGCAATCAGCACTCTTTACAGAGAATATCATAGCTCCCCCGCCCTTTGAAATGCTAATCTTTGCGATAATTGAACTTAAATGTTATTGAACCAAAAAAACAAAAAAAGAGAGGAAAAAATTCCTTTGTGTAGGAAATTCTTCTTTAAAAACTATGCGGGCCAAGTTTTTTTCTCACACAGTTTATTTAAT